CCCTTATCTTTAATTTACACATTTTGATTTTAATCTCATAAAATCTTATGAGGTAGAATGCTAATACTACTGTTTTCTTAGTTGGAGAGATCAAAGCCCAAAGAGGTTAAAAAAATCTATCCAAGCTCATACATTTAGAAAGAACTGACCAGGGATTTGCTTGGAGATCTTTTTGGTTTCAAAGCCCATAGCCTAGGCATTGCAGTGTTGGTTAAGAATGTAAGCCAAGAGCCCAGCATGCTGTCTGGCACTCAGTAAATACTAATTAGGCAAAGCCTCAAAATCACAAAGTTGGACCCCTGTCTGCAACCCAACTGCAATGAAGAAGGATGAAGTGGCTCAGATGGATGAATAGGAACAATGTGTACCCTACAAGATATAAAGCTCTGGGAAATTGAGGCAGATATATGGACACGTGGGCAACAGAGCAGTGGTTGGGCTGGAAGGACTTAGGAGGTTCGAGCTGATTCACAGGCAATAGAGAGAAGGGGAAGGAGGTCCAGACCTGTCAGGAGCCATTGTCTCTCATCTCTCTGACTGGAACTTTTCACACTTTTCTCCACATAAATACTCATTCAATTTCAGCTTTCCCAAGCCATCCAGGGCCATGCTTCAAATGGTTTAAGTGAATGTCCTCACCCTAAATAATGAACTGTTTTTCTACGCATGAACAAGTGTCCTCTTAACCATCTACACCAGGATTTATGATGACTGAGATCTCCAGATTGACAAATAGATTGTCAATAACCTGAAATTATGGGCACTTGACCTTAAGAAATATTCTGGAATCCAAATAATCAAAATGTTATCAATCTTCTTCCAGCCAAGTTTCCAAGCCTCCCCATGAATCACAGCTATAGTGCACTGTTAACAGGACCCAACATAACTGAGGACCAGTTGCACAAGGCTTCTTGAAGGAGCCCAAGACAGTGTTGCCATCCAACAATCACCACTTGGGTGGTATGAAGTAATAGGAATGGGAATGAGAGGTTTATTAGGTTTGTAGGGGGTTTTATCTGCAGAACTCAGCTACCCAAACAAGGTTAAGGAATGGAAGAGAACAGAGAATCTCTGGGCTTGAGTTCTCAAAAGTATTTGGGAAAACCATTTAAACTACCTAGCTGGCCTGCATAATTTCCCTGCTGCCATTTTTTAAAAAATGCTTTTTAGGTATAGAAGTGATTTCTGAAACCAACTGGATGTTCTTCCAAGGCACGTTTAGTTGAGAAAGTAGCTGGCTAAGTAAGAAAGAACACAATTTTCACTTTAAATGAAAGACTATAACCTTCTTTAGAGAAGAAATTATGTTGCCAGCATTTAGTGCAGGACTTAAAAGCAAAGTATGCAATAAAAACAGCATGGTACAGGCACAAAAACAGACATGAAGACCAGTGGAACAGAATAGAGGACCCAAATATGAATCCACACAACTATACCCACCTCATTTTTGACAAAAGTGCCAAAAAGAGAAAAGACAGCCTCTTCAACAAATGTTGCTGGGAAAAGTGGTTACCTGTCTGCAAGAAACTGAAACTAGATCCATGTCTATCCACCCTGTACTAGTATCAACTCAAAATGGATCAAGGACCTGAATATCAGACCTGAAACTCTGAAGTTAGTACAGGAAGGAGCAGGAAACACTCTGGAACTAATAGGTATAGGCAAAGACTTCCTCAATAGAACCCCAGCAGCCCAACAACTAAGAGAAAGGATGGACAAATTGGACCTCATAAAATTAAAAAGCTTCTGCACAACAAAAGAAATGGTCTCTAAACTGAAGAGACCATCCACAGAGTGAGAGAAAATATTTGCCAGCTATACATCAGAAAAGGGACTTACAACCAGAATATACAGGGAACTTAAGAAACTAAACTCTCCTAAAATCAATGAACCAATTAAAAAATGGGCAACTGAATTAAACAGAACTTTCTCAAAAGAAGAAATTCAAATGGCAAAAAAGCACATGAAAAAATGCTCACCATCTCTAGCCATAAAGGAAATGCAAATCAAAACCACACTAAGATTCCACCTCACCCCTGTTAGAATAGCCATCATCAAAAACACCACCAACAACGTGTTGGTGTTGGTGAGGATGTGGGGAAAAAGGAACCCTCGTACACTGCTGGTGGAAATGCAAGCTGGTGCAACCACTCTGGAAAAAAATTTGGAGACTTCTTAAAAATCTAAGCATAGACCTGCCATATAATCCAGCAATCCCACTCCTGGGGATATACCCAAAGGAATGCGACACAGGTTACTCCAGAGGCACCTGCACACCCATGTTTATTGCAGTGCTATTCACAATAGCCAAGTTATAGAAACAACCAAGATGCCCCACTATTGATGAATAGATCAAGAAAATGTGGTACTTGTACACAATGGAATTTTACTCAGCCATGAAAAAGAATGAAATCTTATCATTTGCAAGTAAATGGATGAAACTGGAGAACATCATTCTGAGTGAGGTCAGCCAGGCTCAGAAGACCAAAAATTGAATGTTCTCCCTCATATGCAGACTTTAGATCTAGGGCAAGTGCAGCAATGTGGTTGGATTTGGATCACATGACAAGGGGAGAGCACATACGGGAGATACAGGAACAGGTGGAAAACCTAAAACATGAAAGCATTTATGTCCCCACTCCAGAGGAGCTAATACAGAAAACTTAAAGCAACAGAGGTTATCATGAGAAGGGGATCAGTAACCAGTGTAAAGATCAGTTAGAGATGAATTAACATGGGTCATAACACATGTGTACCCAAAAGCAATGCTAGGAATATTTCTGTATAGCTATCCCTAACTCAACTAGCAAAAACACTTTGTCTTCCTTATTAGTCTTGTGTCTTTTCTTCAACGAAATTAGTGATAAAGGCAGAACAGGACCTGCCTGGAACTGAGGGAGGGAGGGGGAAGAGGGTGGGAGAGGGAAGAAGGGGGGAGAAATGACCCAAACAATGTATGCACATGTGAATAAATGAATAATTAAAAAAAAAAGAAAAATTATTTTAAAAAAAGCAAAGTAGGTGCTCAATAATACTTTTTTTTTTTTTGGTAGGGAGGATGAGGTGTGACTTTAAGGTGTTCTTCTACACCTTACACAATCATTACTTAAAATGTGATACCCAATCAGGGGCTCCCAAATCAACATTTCATGACAAAGCCCATTCTGACTCTTACCAGAGTTACTCATAAAAATGACTGCTATTCCCCATCATAGCAACAGCGTATGGGAGCCAGGCACCAGTGGCTAATACCTGGGAGGCTGAGATTGGGAGGACCACAGTCTAGGGAAAAAAGTTTACTAGACCCCCATCTCAACCAACATCTGGGTATGGTTGCACATGCCTGTCACCACAGTTAAAATAAGAGGATCATGGTCCATGCAGGCCAGGGCAAAAGACAAGACCCTATCTTCAAAATAACTGGAGCAAAAAGGGCTAGAGGTGTGGCTCAAGTTCTAGAGGGCCTGGCAAGAACAAGTTCCTGAGTTCAACTACCCCCAAAAGTTTATGGGATCCCCTTACCAGCCTAGCAGTGTATCTTGAACACAGTAGGAATTAAATATATATTTGTATAATGAGAGCTTGTAGAGGAAAACACGAATCTCATTTGTTATCTCCTGAGTTACTGAATAACACTGTGGAAAGCAGGTGCTTTCAGAGACAGCCCTCCCTTCTGTCCTATTCCAGACACATGAATTAGAATCATGTGTCCTCTGAAAGCACAGAAGCACCTAACCAGAAGACAACTGAGCAAGTAAGTTTGTGAAAATAATATTTTATGTTTGAAATTATTTCTAGAGCTTCCCCATCATCAGCTGTAGTCTTAATATCCTAAATTTCTGTATACTATCTTCTAGTCCACCTTCCTATAGCATTTGCAACTATCATTCTAAAATTTATTACATTTCAGGCAGTAAAAGTTCAATATTGTCCCTAATTTAGATTAATGTTTCCCATCAAAGACCACATTTGGAGGCTCTGGACTTAAATTTGAAATAAATGAGAGATGATTAGGAAGAGTCAAGAAAAATTTGAACAAGGGATTTTATGAGCAATGTTAAAATAGTTGTTACTATAATTGGCCACTTCTATACATTATTAATAAATCCCACAGCCCTGTAAAACAGGTTATGATTCTCATTTAACAAATGAGGAAACTGAAGTTTAAAGTAGCTGAGTCCCAGCTTAAGGTGACACAACTTGTAAGTGGTCCAAAGCAGGAAACTTCACCAGACCCACATCTGCCTCTTTCCAGTTCACTGCAACACCTCTCTTACACATTTTATCCAGAAGTGTGATGCATGTTCAGGAACTGAATGTATGTAACCAACACAAAAAGCTATGTTAATCTATGGTCCTGAAGAGGGATTGAAGTGTCAGGTTTCAACTCAGCTCAGAAGGACCAAAAGCATTTGCCTTTCTTGACTTCAGGATCCCCTTTGCCAGGCAGAAAATACAGTGACCTACTTTTCAGGACTTTCAGAAGCAACCATTATAAAGAAGGTTGCAAAGACAAAAACCTTTGGCTACAAAACAGGGAAGCAATGGCCCTATGCAACAAGACAGTGCTCTCTCTAGAACATGGAAAAATAACAAGCACCCACATCTCCTCTCCAACTCTACCTACATTTACTTTCTCTTTGAAATCAATGGAATTCTATATGGAGAGGAAACACAGGGAGACAAGGGTATCAAGCTACAGCCACAGGGCTAGGTCAAGTAATTATTAACAGCATTATTAATCCTTTGCTTCTTCTGCCTTTATTTAGCCCAAAAGAAGTAGGATTCTAATTAATTAATTTCTTTTATAATCAGCCTTATAAAACTTGGAGAGAGGTTGAAGTGTAGGAAATGAAACTAGGCTTTATGAATTTCAACAAGTTTTACACTACTATCTTCTCCTTCTACCAGAAGTGAACCAGAACCATACTAAACCTTCCTTCTACATCAACATCTTAAAATGCGATGGTTTTTAAAAAAAAAAAAAAAAGACCACTTACTGTTCAGGGGATCAATAAGCAAAATCCAAGGGAATGATCTCTGTCTTTCTCATGAAAAACACCATATGCTCTTGGTGGATCGGGAGCTCACTAGGCTGTTATTAATAACTGGCTTAGAGCTTTGTGAAGAAACATGAGCCAGAATGTCACGGGAGGAGGCAAGTGGAAAGGAATTGACAGACACAGGTGGAATAAATTACAGCAAAAATATACCTTCATGGGAGCTCAAATAAGCCACACAGAGGGGTTTCACTCCTCCACACAAACAGGTCCTTATGTTAAGTGTTCTAAGAGTTAATCAAACAACAATATCCTTAATATTGAAAACACTAGGATTTATTTAATGTTATATTATGCTTTGCTCTTCTGAACACTCACTTTCCATGGATATCTGAACCTTTTCAAATTTCTACATTTAACATTTATTCAAAGTCCCTTGTTTTCAAAACACATGAGTCTATTATCAATTTTTTGTTTACCTGTGAACATATCAGTCTCTCTCCCTTCAGGATCCCCAAACAATTTCTGGGAAAGTATAAGCAGGTGTGAGAGGGGAATGGATCTTGGGATGGTACCATACATAAAAAGGAACCATTGAATTGATGTGGTAAAAATGGGGAGTGTAATCATGACCTGGCTTCTGGTTTGGAGTGACTCTCTTCTTTTGAAAAGCAATTATTTCATAAATTTCCAGACCCTGCCTCTACTACACACATAATTGACATCACATTGTTCAGATCATTAACAGTGTGTCTTTAGACCTAAATTAAACACTGGCATTATCTGGAGTGTTAAAAGAAAACTGACAAACAAAAGTGACTGAAGTACATAAAGGTGCATTGTTTATTTTTGAATGGAGAAGTGCAGGTTAAATTGCTTCATTCTTAAGCTTCCAGTTGTCTGTTACCCTAACTCAAGCAAGATCACAATTCTTTTTACAAACAAAATGCTTTTTCAACTAAACACTGTGGTGAGTGGGGAGGACAACTCCATAGAAGCGTCAAAGGGTGAGTGTTATTCTGCTAGGCGGTTGTTAAGAGAAACATAACAAGCAGGCACTAGTTAGATAGGTAGGTGAGAGGGAGCAGAGTAGGTACAGGGAATTTAATTTTTAATATTATTTTCATACTCTGATTAGTTCAAAGATTTTGATTATGCACAGTTGTGTGTGGTTAATGATGGGATATGTTTTGAGAAGTGAGATGTAAGATGATTCTGCCACTGTGAAAAAAGCATAGATTATACTTTCACAAAGCTAGATGCTATAGGTCTGTCACTAGGCATGGCCTCAAAATGTTTGAGTAAACCTTGCCTCTAACCCATTTTTGTTGCAAGGGGGTGGTTTAATTTCTTAAACTTCAAAAAGGGTTGTAGTTAAAACCTGCTGTTGGGTATCAGAATTTAAAAAATAAACAACTTTGTATGGAATTTTGAATTAAACCTATTTTCAACTATTTCCCCCAATATCATTTAAAGAAGATTTTTGTTACGAAGCAGAACTGAGCTTGATAAATATGCATTGAATCAAAGAATCAGCAAACTAAGGAAACTAAGCAAATCCTCAAGTAACAAAATTCAAGAACCAACACACTCCCTTCTCATGAGTCCATGGCCCCTCAGAAGGAAGCATTCATCAGAGTCAGACTCTTGGCTTCGCACCTCCCCTGACAGCAATGTTAGGGTTGGAAGATCTTGCTTAAGTATCTCTTCACAGAAATGCCCAGGACTCCAGGTAAGGGAAGCTTTGTTTGAGAAGAGAGACCGGCTTATTGCAAGAAGTCGACAGGCAATATTGAACTGAAGAGCTACCCTTCAGCAAAAATATTTATCAGGAAACCAACTTCTTGTCTTTAATCAGCCCAGTATGTTTTAAAGAGAGGAGAATGTCTTTGGGATGATGGGGGGTTGGGGGAAGGAAGTGATGAAGAACAGTAATGTAAAGCTGTTGCCAATGTCTCTGCCCTGTCTAGCTTAAATTTGGCCCAGTTATAATTTCTGTGTAAGGTCGGGGAACTTGTGTGGCTGATACAAGGGTCAACCTCAGAGGGGGAGAGTTCTGCTCAGTGTTTGGAACTGACAAATATGTCATCACATTTCCAGTGTGGTGACCTGATAAGAATGAAGCATATAAGTAACTCTTAATAAATGAAACCACTCCACAGGAGATTATATAAAACTCAAGTTCTCACTCTTTTTTTTTTTAATGAGACAGGATCTCACCATGTAGCTCAGGCTGGGCTAGAATTCAGGCTGATCTTGAACTCATTATCCAAGGACTGGGATTACAGTCATGCATCACCACATTCGGACTAGTACTTAAAAATTTCTGAAAGGCAATATTACATATTTCGGCTGCAGCATTCACACAACACTACTGTCAGAAAAATTAAGTAATTTTTGAAGAATGCAAATTGTCTTATTTGCATTTCCAGAAAATGAATACTAAAAAGTAAAAAACAGATAATGATAATTGTGACAATCTTAGCACTAGAAAATCATTGAATATAGGAATATATAACAATTCTCACTCATTGAGGACATAACTCAGTTCTAGTCCCTCTTCTAAGAGCTTCACATGTAGTAAAAAATTCATCCTCACACAACTCAATGAGGAATAAGACTCAGAGTGGTTATGCAATCAATCCAAGGATACAGGTGGCAGAGCCAGTATTGGAAATCAGGCATTCTGGTCCTTAAGTCGTGCTCTTAACCATATGCTCTCAAAATATGCAGGAGTATCTACAGCAAAAGCATGTTTTGATGCTAAAATGGGAGGAAGAGAGAGAGGAGGGAGGGACGGAGGGAGGAAGAATGAGAAGGAGAGAGTGGGGGAGGAAGGGATGGATGAGAGAGAGAGGGATGGAGGAATCACACCTAGTGTCAACTGAACTATGTATTCTGGTCTCCCCATACCCAGATTTGACAAGAGGGAAAATCCTGGAGAAGTGAAATTCTCAGAAATTGATTAAATTAGGTCAAAATAAATGAGTGCTGGAATGAGTTCAAAATGGATGAACTTTCCTTCAGAGGCATAAACACACTGATCCTTGAGTTTATAGAGAATTCCATTTCCTTCATTCAAAAACAAAGAAACAAAGTGTAACTTAGGGTATGGGCTCATAAATACTCCAGTTCAAACCCGAGTTTGAAATGTATTTTCCCCCAGCCTTTGAAGGAACTCTCGCTGCATAAAGAAGACCCATAAGATGAACAACTTTTGCTTTATCCAAATGGCAATAAAACTTACTTAACGATTGAAGATCTTAATGCCAGTTTAAAACAACTGCTTTCCAACAGCACAGGGAGAGTAAGTGACATTAAATAGCACTTGCTTCTTAATTTCTTTACAAATCAAATCACTCCTTTTTCCCTTCAAGATGTTATACTTCTATCTTCAGTAACTATCAGTTCTGGATAGCTGGGCCAATTGAATTTCTTTAGTTCCCAGAAAACCAAGGACTTCTTTTCTAATGAAAGTATAGGATATGAAGACAGAATTCCTCAGATTTAAGAAAATGACTAGAAATCTGGGAACCCGTAGAATTTGATAAAACCTTTGCTCTAATTTAGACTTTAGCCCAATTGGATCAACAAAGTCTACCTTTATGGAGAGGTTAGAAGAAGAGTAAAGAAGACTGAAGGTTTCCTGTCCCCTGTATTTCTCTACCTTTAGTTTTATAAATCATTTAGTTTAACAGCCAAGTCTACAGGTATGATGGGCCCCTTAGAGCAAAAGCTCAGAGTATCACAAGTGGGCTGCCCACACAAGTACAAAAGTTTGTATCTAACTATCCTTAAGTACTGACCTAGGGCTAGAGAAACAAGAGGATAGAAGCCACTGCAAATGTCTGATGTGGTCAGCAGGACACAAATACCGTCAGAGGGTTGACCTCTCAACCTGTATCTCACCTTGATTTATGTCCTGCCATGCTGCCCAACTTGGGGGTGTCGACTGTATCTCCTGAAAGGCTTCCATGATGAGTCACAAACATCCAGTACAGAGACACACTAGCAATTTAAAAAGTACCTGACAGTTAAATCTTATATGTCCACAAATGGAAAAACCACAGAAAAATAAAGCCTATGTTGTCCTCTTACTAATCTAGGCCTTCACCACAGGGATACTCATGGGTGTCTCACTCTGATAGTTGGTTAAACGTAGAGTATTTTTTCAGAAGCTTCATTATCAATGTAACTTCTTCAGGACTCCCAAGCTATGTGAATTCACCCCTATCCTATATGGCTCCAAAGTTCCAAACACAATGACAACATTAACCCCCGACTAAACAATTAGAAACCCATGGCCTTTCCCAAGTAAAAGTTCCCTCTCCTCACCCCCCCATCCCCACCAGTAATCTATGGAAACGTGTAGGTAGGAATAAAAGAGAGAACATTTTCTTGGCTCCAACTTTATCAGGATGTCAATCATTCAAACCAGTTGCCCAGGGTTCACAACTCGTAAACCTAAAAACTTACACTCATTCAGTTTAGAGCAACTTCTTGCCATGTTTCTCATTTTGAAATCTTCCCCACAAGCTTCATTCTAGGCTCTTGACACTTCTCATGGATCTGGCTTAGATTCTCAGGGGTATAGCTATTTCCAAGAATTAAAAACATTTTTTCAAAAAAGGAAATAATCATAGTACCATTATCCTAGCAAGTAATGAAATCAACAATAAACTTTAATAAGTAATATCCAGGGATATTTAATATCTAATATTCAATATAATTTCCCCCAGCCCAGACATCCTTGGTCAAAAAGGTGCTGAATTAAGCATAAAGAAAGACAGGCTTCTTTGCTTCTGAAAGCATATTCTTCCTGTACAAACAAACACATGAGTAACTCAGGTACCTCTCCTGACAAGGCTCACAGCATTCCTTTCTCTCCAATCTGAACCAATCCATAGGCCCTCTCTGTTCCTATATCCCCCAACAGCATCTGAGACATTTTGGGACGACTGAAATGGCTATTGCCTGAAAATCCTTAAGTCTGTCAGACCTGCCTCGCAATGGATACACCCACCTTGTTCCCATGTTTTTTCCCCATTAAGTGGCTAAGATCACATGTTCTAGAGCCACACTGTTTGGC